AGGATCAAGAATGCATTTGAATTACAGTAAACCCCTAAAGGAGAACAATCTGGGTATGCTGTTTTGACCACTAAAAGATGCTATTACGAATTAGTATCACCCAACTAGTAATGCAAATCCTTCATTTTAATTGGCTACACTACTAGAGGACTATTAGTAATAGTCCTTGAGTAGTGAAATTGGTGCAATCGAGCATGACACTTTCTTTCGTTTTCTGTCCGACTAGTTGGGTGATACTAAAACAATTAGACCCTTCGCCCTCGAGGGCCACGGGGCAATAGCCCATTCGACTTCTTCTCATAGGCTGTTGACCCGTAGCCCTTGCGGGCTACGGGTCTAATTGCTAAATATTCATATTCTTGGTATTGGACTGGAACTAGCTTGCAATGGAGGCTAATGTGGGGAGTCTTTTCAAATGCAAATAACATTTAATCTCTTTTTAATGATATTCCCCCACATGAGCCACCATTACAAGTTAGATCCAGTTCAATACTGAGAATACAAACATGGGCTGTTCCAAGAATTTGTTTGTCTTGTTGCCCTCTTTATCACAGTATTATAAATATCGCAAGAGTTTCAAAGAGGTCCTTCATCAAGAGCGTGTCTTGGATGAAGCAAGAAAAAGGGAAGCCATGCATGCAACAAGATTGAACAGACTTCAAAAACAGGTGCCTATATTGACCACCTATTTGCTAGAATTCTAAAAATATATTATTTTATTTACTGAGTCTGGAGCCCACAGACCCTCCCCCTGTATCCAGCACTGTTTCAGGAGTATTTTAGTTGATGTTTCTCATCAGGCCTGGTTCACACTATAGCGACAGAGCAGCATCACAACATGACATAATCGCTTACAGGTCTGGCAATGTGAACACAGACATAAAGACATAAGGAAAAGATCAGTTCTTTTTTCTTATGTTGTCATCTGGGATGTTGCTATTATCATTATGTCAGGATGTTTAGTCACTGCAAACATAATGTGGTCATGCCATTATGCTGCATGTGTGAACCAGGCCTTACTGTTACTTATAAATATAGTTTTTATATTATTTAATAGTTGGATCAAAACAAGAGGAAGAGTGGTGATGCAGGAAGACCCA